AGCGACGTAGTCATATATTGATATCCAATGGAGCTTTAGTCAGTACTCATTAGTGATTACATTGTGGCACGTGCTTCTATGGCATTTGCAAGTAAGAGAGCAAACGAGAGGAGAGACAGAGCGGGAAGGAGAAAAGGAGGCAAGAGGAGAGGGCACATATGGCGGGGTTATAAATATCCATGAGCTGAAACGTGTGTACGACGACAGACACATTAAAAAGAGCAGTAGCGATTTGTATAAGTTAAAGATTCAAAAGCCTAAGATTCTATATCTAAAACTCATTATTGTTATTAGTTCTAAGAGGATTATATTCATTGGAAAAACTACCGAAATTACTGTTACTTATTTTTCCCATTGAAAAGAGAGAAAGTGACCAATCACTATTTATCTCATAATTATATGCACAAACTTTCAATAACACATGGCTAACAACTAAAATCTTATTAATTCCTCCTTATGAAGCTAACACTTCACAAATTGTTAAAGCATTATACTGTCATACAATATATTACCACCTACCTATACCAAACCAATTTATAAGAACATAAAATTTAAAAATATCAATGCGTGCAAATATCAGTGACAGATATTTAAACTTATTATCATAATATTCACTTAGACTGATAGAAGGATAATTGTACCATTATAAGGATATAAGAAAAATTATCAACAGCTACAGACATAATAACTTTTATCCTTCCACTATCCTTATCCATCACCAGAATCTCAAGATCAAAATTTAAAACAAAAGATAGGTTCATTTTCAGTATCTATCATACAGTTTACACCAGTGTTGTCCAAATTGGAATCCCCATACCCCTAGGGGTACGCAACATATATCATAAGGGTACATGAACAAACAAGGAACACACACACACACACACACACACACACACACACACACACACACACACACACACACACACACACACACACACACACACACACACACACACACACACACACACACACACACACACACACACACACACACACACACACACACACACACACACACACACACACACACACACACACACACACACACACACACACACACACACACACACACACACACACACACAGAAACATCACATGTTCTATGAATCATCTTTTTAAATTTGTGTATTAAAGTCAAATTTATTAACCAACAGTCCTGTAATGCAGTCTTTTCATAATCAGTATATTAATTGCATTATCTTAAATAAAACAGTTTGTTTAGCCATGGTGGATAGGGGGGGGGGGTACATAACAGTACAAGAAGGTGATAAAGGGTACAATACGCAAAAATGTTTGGACAAACTGGTTTACACTACACAGTTGACATATCAATAAATAATTGAATATACCTTCTGCTTTACAAAATATCCATCCCTACATAGAATAATAGTATCATAAAGTATCACAGCATGAGATTTGTCTTGTGAAATACTACAGTACAAGATCTCTGTACCTAATATTCATTACACAAGAAATTATTATATCAATAGTATATGTTTAAAATCAAAACTTCTGTATCAGAAATTAAACCATATCAGATTGGTATAGACTATAGTCCAAATAAGAAAGAAAAGGAATCATATTAGATCATAACAGAGCCTAAACTTTACATAAACACAAATCAGTATACTGTATCGTCTAAAGCACACTGGCATAGCAACACTGACCTTTCTAACTAATTCAGTTACAAAATAATTACTCGTGAAAGGAGATACAACAAAGGACGAAATCAGAGCATCTGTACCTGAAATCGGGGATACCTGAAGGCGTGCTCATCCCTGCCCCGACCATGACCATAATGCAACTCACTTCATCTCGTATGTATTTTGCAACATCTTCGAGGTTCTGCAAGTTCGGGTTACTATTCTTGGTGTGTGAAGCCCATCGTTGTGACCTCAATTCCGGCGGTTTGATTGTAAATTGATGTTTAAATAAGGTTTTATTGCGGTGAGATCGTGATGATCCACACTCTACATAATTTCTGATTTTGAGGTTTGATAAACTATTATTGCTGTGTTTCAAGAGGTCTCTGATTGATCTACTGGTTCTTACCGCAATGCCTGACATTTCAAACAGTGATGTCAACTTCAACAAGGGTTACAGATTGTGTTCGTATATAAGGCTCTAAAATTTAATAATTCTCTCCAGAAATGGGACGAGGTGGGCAACTTTTCCGAAAATA